GCATTTACTTTTATCCAAGAAGCTGCGGACCGTGTTCCCCTCCAGGATGTCGGGGTTTTTGGTGACACCATCCGCGTTGGCTACGGTGTTGAATAGATCCACCATGTATTGGGGCGGCCGCTTGAAGTGAGCTGGGGGCGGCGGGGGATCTTCTATGCCAAAGACTTCCAGGAGCATCTTAAGTGCTTCAGCTCGTCGGCTTGCTGCACCATCTGAGGATGGGCTACGTGGGCACGCTGGCCTCACCAGGGCTAGCAGGAGCAGGACTGTCCCCAGCATGGTTCTCCTGTCCCAGCCCCAGCTCAACTCCTGCTGGCTCCCCAGCACCACATTTATAACTCGGCCCAAAGATGGATTGGAGTCAAATATGCACATGAGCCATCAGGAAGGTAAAGAGAGCTAATTGCCATGCTAACAAGGTGCGAAGCTGGGCTACTGAGCGCCCTTCGCCAATTAGCCCCAGTACACAAGCGCAAGGGGAAGAAGGCTCACCTGCGCAGTCCAGGCTTCGGCGGGGGACGCAGGATCTCAGAGTCAGGACCGGCTGCCCAGGTCCCTTGGCAAGACCCTGGCTGGGCTGCGTTTGCTCTCCCTAGGAGACTAACTGGTTTTTAATGATGGCACTAATGGGACAAACAGGAGGACCTTTGTGCTGAAGAATTCGACAGCTCTTAGCAAAGAGGGAGAGGAAAGGCCAGAGCTGCTGGGAGGAGCAGCATCGTTTTCCCTTGGGTGTCTCAGGGCCCAGGGAAGCCCTGATGGAGACTTCATGGCGGCGTAACCAAAGGTGCAGCCTTAACAGGCTGGATGAACTTGCAAAGCTGCCCTGAACTGGCCTGCCCAGGGCAGGATGGGAGCCCAACTGGAGCAAGGAGCAGCCGGGTGCTTCTTGGCACACGGGTGTCCTGGGCAGTCATCCCTGTATCAAATGTGCAGGGTTGGCTGGGGGGCCTTTTCTGGGCCCTGTGCTTTCAGGACCCTTAGTGCAGCATGTGCACATTGGCTGCGGATAAACTGCAGCCTAATCTGCATTTCCTACCAGCACACACTGCTATAAACAGCTGCACAAACAAGCTCTGCGAGCAGGAAAAAATCATGTAACGGGGGTTTCCAGCAGAAAATAACCAGTACCAGGATTTGCAGTTCTTTCCTTTGCAATGATGCCATACACTGTGTTTTAGCAGCAACTCACTATCACCAGGAGACATACAATTGAAATTAGCTTTTTTTTTTAAAAAAAAAAGAAAGCTAACTGGCTTCCTAGAGATTAAAGGGCATTTGCTGATAACAATTGTGAATGATTGATATTAATGAAATAAATATTCTGAGAACCCTATGAACTCAGGATGATGGGATAAAAGCCAATTCTTCGCTAATATTTCTGAACCAGAGAGAAGCTGGGTTGATAAAGGTAGCTGTGTTGATACAGTATGTGTGGACTCTTTACATCTGGCATTTGTTTTAATGCCCTGTGACTTAACAGAAAAATTACTGTTGTACATTAAAAGCCAGCACAGCAGATAAAAGGAGCAGGATTAGAAAAGCCTGTTAGATCTTTAATTGACCTGTGAATAGGGAAATCTCTGTGAACAGGGCCCTCAGACACCGGCTCTCCCTAGCAGCTTGGGAAGGAAACAGGAAGCTGCAGGAGCAGAGCAGGCACCGTCCGTCTGTCTCTAGTCGCAGCTCTGGCCAGGCTCCTTGCCCATCTCTGCTCCAGACCCAGACCAGGCAGAAAGGGTGCTGTGCTCCCTGGCCGGGCAGGTCTGGATCCCCACTGCTGCAGGGCAGAGACACTTCCAGGTTAATGCAATTAGAAGAAAAGCTGAAGGCTGCTTGGCCAGTTGGCATCTATAATTTATTCGAACCTGATGTTTGGAGGGTGAAAGGGCTGTTAATTATCCAGAATACACAGGGAGGCAATTGCAGGCATGGGGCACAGGCTTGCATTAATTGAAAAAGGAAACTATTCAAATCTTTTGGATCCTTCCCTTCCTCTTCCCTGGGCACATTCCTGTTCACCAGCCAGAGCTGTGTGCCCCGCAGGATAACACGAGTCGAACCGGGCTCAGTCGCACTGCAGAAGGGACACCTTCATCCCCACCTTTGCTCACGTGCTCCCCTGCTTTCTCCCAGACAACACACAGCCCCTTTCCTTCTCTTCTCCCTGCTTCAAGTTTTGTAAATGGGAGCAGCCCGGCCTGCAATGCCCTCTGGCCCGTGCCAGACAGCCACATCCTCTCTCCGCGGCACCACAGGCAGGCTCATCCCAGGATGCCTGCGCAGACCTATGGGCTGGGGAACTAAACAGCAGCACCCCAAGGAGCTGCAAATTGCCCACAATGTTTATTTTAAAAGCTGCCAAATATTTTGTAGGCAGTTGATTTATACGAGCACTGTTTAAAATATCTTTTATTCATAAAATAGCCTTCTCTCATTTACATATAGTACAGACAGTCTGGCAGGGGTCTTGCAGGACACCAGGCATGGCAGGCCACAAGCCCGGCTACATTCCCGCCCTGATGCCCAGTCTCCAGAGCCACTAGCCCCTGCACTTGCACTGTTGGATGGCAAGGACGGTGCGAACACGGTCTCTGCGGCTCCTGAACGTGTGTACATCGTACCGGTGAGGGGCGCAGCGGCTGGAGGTAGCTTCTCCCCGAACCAGACATTTCTCTCCGCCTTGTGACTCCCTGCAGTTAGAGACAAACCCAGTAACTCTCCAGTGAAGGGTGGCGCAGCCCCCGGTCCTCCCAGCACCCCAGGATCCCCCACCGACGGGGCAGGGCTGATCTCATGGCTCCTGACTGCTCCGGGAGCTCATACGGGTTCACAGTCCACAGTCTGGGGTCCTGCTTGTTTCAGGTGACAAATATGGAACAAAAAGCCCCTGCCCTCAGCTGCTGGTACCCCATTAAGTCAATGGGCACTGCACAGAGGACAGGGCAGTAGGAACAGTACCAAGATGCTGCTTTTTATCACCTGGAAAAAGGGCAGATGCCCCGGGCAAGGGAGCTGGGAGAAGAGAGGCAGCTCCTTCCTGGGCGCATTTGACAAGGGGGTTTTTATTCCTTGCTCGCGGCATAACTCAGCAACTCAGCAAACCACTTCCTCCCTCCTTGCCTATGGAAAACAGGGCTTCTTTATTTCCCTGCAGTTAGATTTGCTTCCCTCTGTGTTTACCACCTTCCCAGCACCAAACAAGCTGCATATGCCAAGTAGGTCTGCAAGCAACACAAAGCGCTGCCCCCCCCGGCCTGAAATAACTGTACACCACAAAGCTGAACCAGCCTGCCCGAAAGCATCCCGCTCCTCCTCAGCCTCCTCTGGCTGCCCTGCAGGCATCTCTGGCCCCTGTCCCTCCACAGTCCCTGGGAAAGGCTGTGGAGCAGACCAAGTAGTGGGAACGGCACATCCTGGTCTGCAGAGAAGGCTGCTGTCAGGACATGTTCCCATCTGTGCCTGGGGAGGATGCGGGCAAACTTGGGGGACTGCCTGCTCTATAACCAGCTGCTAGTATAAGTCAGCATCATTGCTGGCAGGTTATTCTTTATCTCTCAGAGCAATGGAGCAGATGCTGCTCCCCTTTATCTTTGACCTCGCAGCCAGTCCCTAGCCCTACACGTCCAGAAATGTCCAAGAGACATTTCCAATGTCCAGAGAGAGCTCTGAGTGCTGCCCAAAACCTGCTTCTGTGATACCCCTCCAAATCCTGCCCCGGGAACTACAGAGATGTTACTCAAGATGAATTGAAACTGCAAAGGCTCCCAGAGGCAGCTTGAACCTGACTGTGAATGTGTGCAGACATGTCCAGGAATGAGACGTGCCAGGAAAACTCTCCTTTGGCATCTGAGACCCTGCATAGCTGCAGGGCTTTCACTGAAGTTACTGGGGGGGACAGGCTGAAATCCTGGCAGCTGTGCTTACCTAAGGAAGCAGGGATCCCCTGAGGAGCAGCTGCCCAAGCACCTTCCCACATCAATTTCCTGCAAAGATTTGCAAAACAAAGGCATGAAAATCCCCTGCAGCACCACACTGGGGACACCCCAGGGGACTGGCCTCCCTCCCCCTGCATCCTCAGGCTGAATACACAGCCAGGCTGCAGCAGTGTGGGCACACGGGCATCGGTCTTGTAGTGCAAGGGCAGCAGGAAGGCAAATTTGTAGGGAGAAGTATTTGGGGGGGCACACCAGACCTTTTTGAGCCATTGGCACCTGTGCACAAAACCCATCTTCAAGTAGGGAGCACTCTCTGTTGAAATGAAATGTTACTATTGGAACATAAAACATATTTTAAATAAATACCTGTTCTTTAATTTTTGAAAATAAATTCTCATTGCAAAGAAATGGCAGTTTGTTACTTTATGGCACTGGTGTGTAAACAAATTGGTGGCAGTAAAACACATTTGCTCCAGTAGGATAACTTAAATGTGCAATATTTACAATAGTTTGTGGCCAGCGTGCGCTTAGCTATACCGGGGTGAAGTTGCTTGTATCAGAGCATCCGCTGGACTGTTTAAATCCAGCATGCTGATGCAGCAATCCAGCTGAGCCTACGAGAGGGAAGGCTGAGCTGTAGGAGACCAACCTTGAGCCGTTCCTCTCTGTGTCCCGTGGAGCTGTGAACAATTTCGTAATAATATTCCACCTGGGAAACCCGATAGCATTTTTCCTTCATTTCGCAGTTCTCCAGCATCCGAACTACCTCTTTGCCACTTGGGTTTTTGACCAGAGCAGTGTTAAACTTTGTGGGCAGACAGGAAAGTCCACCTGAAAGGAAATGAGAAGAAAATTTAATTTGGTCCCCCATTTGAGACCATTGCAGCTGCAGCCTCTTCCCCACAGGTCCGACGTGTGGAGTAGACACGGCTCAGGCGCCAGCGCCTGACGCCTGGTGTGGAAAGTGCTGGCTTTCTGCGTGATGTTCTTCAGGTAACGGTTTGGGGCACATTTATTTTGCCAGCTCAGGGCCTCAGCTGTAGAATTTGTTCCTCCGTTTCAGACCATGGGACAAAGTGAAGTTATTCGGGACAAAAACACTGAATACCAGCAGAAACATCTGAGCCCTCAAAAGTCACATTGCTAGGGAGACAGTATGAAGTATCACACACTATCTTTGAGAAAGAACGTCTTTGAATATAAAATATTCATGGGGGAGCTTTTTCCAGAGATGTGCTCTCACACCAGGCAGCTGGCGGGCATTATTTCCCGTTTAACCATTCAGCATTTCTCTCCGAACTTGCTCAGGGTGCTGTTGTCCACAAGGCAACTGACCCCACCCACCACCAGCTGCCAGCGCTCTGCAGCCTTGTTGTCCCCACCACAAGCCAGCTCCCTGGCAGTGGCTCTAGCCCAGTCTCTGAGCAGCTCACAGGGACAAGGAGCCGATGACATCCCCTGGCCATGGGTTCCCAATGCCTTCCTTGCTTTGGCTCTGCTCCTCTGACTCAGAGGGCAGAGTCACACGTGAACGAGCAGAAGATCATCCGCTTTCCTTACTGGGAAATGGGCTGGACTGGAAATGGATAGCAGAGATTTAGACAAGAGGGTCCAGCAAGGGAATCAGAGCATCAGCTCACATCAGCCACGCTGGTCACCAAAGCAACGTGCTTTCTGTATGCCTGATGCCTAATGTGAAAACTGGGTGAAGCTGCAGTTTGGGTGAAGCTGGCTCTCTTTAAGACACTTGTGTTTTAAATTCCTCCTAATCTAGGGAAGTAAATAGCTGCATGGTTGCTGATGCTTCCAGCTGCAATAAACCCCTGCAAATATCCCCTCAGTTCAAGCCAGCTTTTTACCATAATCTGCCATATGCCTCGCCTCTGCACAATCCTTTCAGCCCGCTACCCTCCTTCCAAAGTAACCCAGGATGTAATTTGCCTTATTTGCAATGAGGGTGACTGCTGGCTCATACTCATACCTGGTGTCCACCATCCCCCGATCCTTTCAGGGATGCCAGATGCTTCCCAATTATACAACACGAAAAAGCCCAGCTTTCCCTCAAAGTATCTGCAGCCCCCTTCAGGAGGAGAAGGGGCCAGATCACTACGGCTGGACCCAGCTCAAAAACACCTGCCCTTGCTGCTCCCCATCACCCTGAGCTCCCTGTCACCCTTTGTCCCCTGCTTGGAACTGGGCTGTCTGCATGGCCAGACACCCCCAAAGGATTTGTTTTGCTGGGCTGGGCTCTGCTGGGTTCTCAGTTCTCCACACGGGCAGACGAGCCGGACAGGGCTAGGGGATGGAGGCAGCATCTCCCCATGCTGGCACCAGGAAGACATTACGTCCAATTGCGCCGCAGGAGCATGGTCTTGCGCTGGCGCTGGGCTGATCTCACAAGGAAACACTTGGTGGGGAAGTGCTTCCCGAGGGTGCTGTTACTAAGTGGTCCAGCTGGTCCACACCTGAACCACCCTCCCTCCCCCAAACCTTCCTTTTCACACAAGAGCCAAGCATCAGGACAAAACCCAGCCTGGGACCTGCATGTCATTGGCACCAGTGCAGCTCTTCCCTCAGCTGTAGGTAAGGGTCTGAATGTGGATTTTGGGTTTGGAGCCAGGTGTGGGGAGCTGGGACTAAGGAGCAGGATGGGGAGGAGTGGAGGCACCTGGAGGGATGCTGCGGGACAGACAGAGGTGGTACACAAGGGGAGGAAAGGGAATGCAGATGATGCTGCCTGTTCTGGGGAGGCAGGAGTGAGTCCTGCTTTGCCTTCTCTTCCATATTCAATCTTTAACTCAATGAAAAGTTCCCTAAGTAAAAAGTTACATTCAGGTTTGACATACCTCATCTGATTTTTAAGTACGCCAGCAATCCTAGCGCTGCAAGAGCAGAGACGTCCCACGGGCAGTCAGTGTTTCCCCAGGCATCACTCATTTTCTAAACCCAAGGTAAAGGACAGGACTTTCTCCCGTATCCCCGAGAATTACCAGGGAGGGTGATCGCTATGGGAAAGTAGAGCTTTGGTGGATACGCTGGAGGCCTTCGTCTTTGCTGCGGTTTCACCTCCAGTCCAGGACACACCATCTTTGTGGCAGGTCCTGGCTGCCCAGGTAAACTGGTTCTTCTGCTCGACATGAGGCAGCAGGATAGGGGGATGGATCTGGCCTCCCCAGGGGCTCTTCCAGCAAATAACAAATGCCCAGTGTGAAGGAAACAGACACAGCCTGTCCTCTGTGGCTCACCGTCTTCTCTCCCTCATTAAGGAAATAAGGATTAAAATTGCTATTGTATGAGCTAAAGGAGGGGAAGAAGGGTGGTAAATTCGATGCAGGGGTCGATCTTGGGTTTTGGCCCTAAATATAATCTAGTCTTCCCCAATCCCACTCCTTGGGAGCTGGTGCTTCAGGGCTTGTGCTCGTTTCCTGGCTCAAAAATGGTTTAAGGGTTTTCTGACCCCTTGTAGTTGTGCCTCTGTCAGCTGCCCGAGGAGATGTCCCTTGGCCAAGGATGAGAAGGGGTTTTTGAGGGAGGGAACAGCACTTTCTGAAAGCAAATCTCTCTGGGATGCCTCAAGAAGGGGAAAGAAGATCACATCTAAATTTTGGAAGCCTAGTATTTCTGGGTGAGATTTTAACATTCTCCTCCAGGACCTCAACCTTTCTAATATTACCAGTCTTTAATATCACACTGAAAATCTCAGCCTGACTTTAAAGGGGAAAATCCAGAAGGAAAGTGCAGAGACCTGCCCTAGGGCAGAGGCAAAGCTGGGACCGAGTCCGCATTTCCCAGCCCTGGGCTATTACCACTGAATGACCAATCTTCCATTAACCACTCTGGAGATAACAGCCATCAACCTGCACCTTCCAGTCACACATCTAGGAAGTAAATGTCTCCGCTGATTCTCCCACCCCTGGGAAAATATACTTCACACTGCCTAATTTTCCTCTCCCTTTGCAGGGTCTTGCTGCAGGATTACACATGCTGTACCGCTGCAGGAGCACAAGGTGTACAGATCTCTCCTAAAGCTCTCAGATGATCGTACATGCATCCAAAAGCAAAGCCCCTCTAATTCCTATCCTCTAGGCCACCCATCTGGCCTACCCAACCCATCCAAGCTCATACCCCAGTGCTGCTTTTCTAGCCCCCATGAAGATGGCAGGACTCTGTCCCTCTCTAGTGGCTGTTGCACAGCCATGTCACAAGAACTGCTGCCTGAAAGCTTTTTGGTAGGATGTTTTTAGCTGCAGAAATGCAAATAAAACAACATCAACAAGTTTAAAGAGAACTGCTTTTAGCAAGCAATTGTGGAAAATCACTTCAATAAGACTTTTCATTTTGATAAAAACAGATCAGTTCATCTTGACTGACTTGGCTCTCAGGTTATTTTGTATGTATGTGGGATAACTCACAAGACAACACAATATTAGTCAAAATGAACTATTTCAACTTTATTCCTGTCGAAGGTTTTGATCTGTCTGGAACCACCTAGTTTGGGGTTTCTATTTCCAATAGATTTTTGAAACATCAATGTAGTTCACTGATGCTGAGATGAAAGGACACTTCAGAAGGTCAGAAATGAAACTCCATTTCTTAGTTATCACTAGTTAAGGATCTCTGTTGCTCCCAACTACAGGGAAGGGTTGTTTAGAGCCAGCAACAGTTTATATCAAAACACTCTCATTTTTAAGCCTTGATATCAGTCCAGATACAGTGTAAATCCAATGCAGTATTCACCATAAGGCATAACAGGCAGGAACCTATCTTGATCATCCTGCTGTGTATTATCTCTTGGTCCTAACCCTACTCCAGTCTATTTTCAGCGCATTTTTTATAATCAGGTTATTTTTCTGGCTGGGGCGGTTCCATGATCCAGCATGCTACAGAGCCATGCAAATAGCCGTGTGGGTGCAATGGAGTGACTAGGAAAGGATGGGAAGGAACAGGGCCAGGTGGCTAGGCAGTTTAAACAGCACTGCCACCAAGAACCTAAGGACACGCTCTCAGATGCAGTGGGAACACCATGTAAGCAGAGATGTGCCTTTGCTGCGAAAGCCAACTGCTTGCCGAGCTGTATTACCAGAACTGTGGCCAGTAGGGCAAGGGAAGGGATTATCCGTCTCCATTTGGCTCTGCTGAGACTACATGTGGGGCACTGTGCCCTGTTTGTTTGTGCCTCGGTACAATACAGGCAGGGACAGACGGGAGCAAGCCAGGCCCAGGCCACCAAGATGCCTGGGGGCTGGAGCACAGGACATCTGAGGAGAGGCTGAGAAAAATGTCTTTGTTCAGCCAGGAGGGAAGAGGGCAAAAGGGAGACCCTGTTGCTGTCTACAGTGACATAATGGGAGGATGTACAGAAGATGGAACCAGATTCTTCTCAGAGGGGAAGAGGGACAGGACAAGAGGAAACAGCAGAAGCTGGAAAAAGGGAAATTCCCATCAGAAATAAGGAAATCCTCTTTCACCATGTGGGTGACCAAACACTGGAACAGGGGCCCAGAGAGGTGGTGAGATCTCCATCCATGGACATATTCAGACCTTGACCAGACACAGCCTGGAACATCCTGATCCAGGTGGCCTTGCTTTGAGCAAGTGGGTTGGAGCAGAGGCCCCTAAAGGTCTCTCCCATCCTGGACTATTTTGTGATTCTTTGACCTCCAGTTAAGAGATACGTTCTCATAATGAGGTGGTTTTAATTCCATGCTCACACCACGCACAGAGGCAATGAATTGCTACTTCACCTGCAGATCTGTGCTATAAGGGCTCAGCAAAAGAAGGAGAATGAAAACCCAAGTCCCAATAATATGAACTACAATCTTGTTCCCTTATAAGTCAAACAAGCTTTGAATAGCATTGTTAGATCTTGCTCCAAGCTCTCATGCTGCAGAAAAGGTGCTGATCAGACAGAAGGGCTCTTCCCAATATTTCTCGGGGAAGGAGGGCCCTTCCCATCACTCCCATACCTGCACTGTAGGATGGGTCAGAGCACTTTCCCACGTCAACTGTCACCTCCCAGGGAGAGTCTGGAAAGAAGGTTTTCAGAGCTGGGAGACGGAGACACTCCTCGGGGCATGTGCTGCACTGACAGCCTTCAATCACCTCCACCTCCTGGACCCCTTCGAAGAGCAGGAGCCGCTCCACATGCACACGAGTGGGCTCACAACAGGAACCTGGTGGGCAGGAACGCTCAGCTCCAGGCCACAGAGCTGAATCGGGACGTCTGACCTGCAGCTGCATGGAACAGGGCAAGTAGCATATTCACTTGTAAAGCACAGACATGGAGAACTACTTTCAGCATCAAATCCCTTATAAAAACTTCTGACCTGGAACTGACTCAGCTTTTACTCCTCTCTCCCTGCATGGCAGCATTGTGTTGCTGTAGTGCTGCCTTTGATGTTTATAACAAACCCATTTATTCCCAGAAACTCTGCTACCATCAGCTGAACAGTAAAGGCTAAAGCAGTCGTAGATTCACCCTGTTCTGTAGGTCCAGCATAAAAAGTGATGACAGCCCTGGGGAATGAATGTGGACCTGCCAGCCTGGAAGATGTTGTCCCTGTAGTGCCACAATGGTGACAACAGCAGTATTTCCACAGCTGCAGACCCCCAGGTAAACACTTACAGGACACACAGGTATAGCATCCTGCAAAGCTTGTTCCCATTCCCTCTCCAGGGTTAGATATCCTGATGCTAGACAGGACAGAGATGGAACGTTAGACATCCTCAGCTCTCCTGGTACAAGGAGAGCATCACAGTCTGTGCATAGCTGTGTCCCTGAATGCACAGGTTCCTTCTAGTCACTTATAGGAGTGACATATGATACATGATAAGGGAATGGCACAAGCACTTCAAAGGCCAGGTTTTGCTGTGCATCATGAAATAAACTGACCAGGGAAAGGCCTCTGGTCACTCTGAAAATAAGACACCAGCTCTCCTATAGAGCAGATGTAGCCATGTCACCTTCACTGCTTGTCTGGGGGAGACCAGAAATATACTTGGATGCTGTTTGGAGCATCCAGGCGGGTACTGTAATACACCTTCTTGGCACTCAGCTCAACATTGGCTCTTTCTCTGCCATGAGGTCCCTAATAGTGCTGGATAGTTTATTTTTATCTGACTTATATACTTCACTGCTTGTAAGCTGAGGCAGGACAAGATACTCAGTGACTGGTTTACTCCACTGAAGCAGCAAATGACTTGAAAGCATGCAGCTGGTATTTTAAAACAAATATGAAATTACAGCCCCAGCCACCAGTGTGTGACCTTCACCCAGACCCAACTGCTCCTGCCATGGGGATGACACAAATACATATTTCTCACCTTCTTAGTTTTGAGAAAATCCAGCATGGAGGAGTGTCTGGAGAGCCCCAGGAGGCCAGGCTGGTGGGAGCTAATCCACTGGGACAGACAGTTGGACCTGCACTTTCCAACATCCACACTTACAGGACTTCCAGAGACATCTGTGAAACACAAGATGGACAAACTCATAATCCCCATAGACCTGGAAAAGATTATTACTTACAATCTACATTATGCTGGGGAGGCCTGGGCTCGAGTCAAGGCTTTCTCTTGTCAAGCATGACACAAACAATGAACAACAAGACATGGTGCACCCTCAGGAAGTCTGCATGGGCAAGGGATTCCTTCAGCGTGAACACCACATGTGGAAACCACACAGAGGAGGCCTTTTACAAGTGCCATAGGTGCATTTATTGTGGTTGTAGATCAGAAGGAAAACATTTCATTATCGACTGGTAAGAGCACTATACTATAAAAACAGTGCAATTCAAAATTAATAATTAGGAGATAGTAGGTTATATGTCCTTTAATGAGATCACAAAGGATGGGGTGAGAATAGACTAATACATTGATTAGCAAAGAGAACATGTGAATGTTCTGCTGTTATTGAATCACAGATCTCGAAGGTACTGAACGATACATAACTAAGTGAGTGGAGAGCCTAGGCATCCAGTGGATTCAGGGAAGCAAAAATATCCCAACTCTTGTTGCTTAGAGCCTGAGGAACCAGTTCACAGAGCTGATCCAGCTGAAAACAAATCTGGCCCTAAAAATCCTAATTTCACAGCTGAGTCAGCTCCCCATACCTCCTGTATTGCCACAGTTGCACTAGTACCAGAAGAAAGGAAGGTGGGACCATGCAGCCAGAGGTGCATGTAGGAACAGGGGAGACCTGGGACCACAACAGATAGGACTTAGATCAGTTTATTTTGCTGTATTTCGAGTCTGTGAAATTCCAGTGAGTATTTGCTAATAGCTGTTTCTTCTGGAAATCTTTCTAAAATGGGCTATTTTTCCAAATAGCATTGTCCATATTCTAAGGGCTGGTTGACATAAAACTTCATTTCGTCATGTTTTAAGGCCAGTTTTCTTCCCTGTGAGCGTCTATTGAGTAGTTCAATAATACTTTAATTCATTTCCTTTAATCTACTGGAGTTCCAAACATAGTGTGTTCTGCAAAAGTTTCATTTTGCCCTGATTTAAACATTGATCTTCACAGAATCAGTGCAAGACACTGCCACCATCTCCATGCTGCATTGCACCAGGAAATATGTAAAAACATTTTAAACTTGCATTTGCACTAAACCTGCTGCTTGCTGCCTCAGGATTTCTTTGCACAGGGAAGCGAGTGAGCAGTAAACTAGGTAGGAATTTGCAGCATATCAGCCACTCCCCAGAGATTCTTGTGGATGCTTTTCACCCAGTCAGGCCTCAGACAGGTGGTCGCTTTGCGAAGGACCCAGCTGGCTGACAACATCATTAACCCCTGCTCTTCCATCCCCACAGCAATATAGGAAGGACACAGTCCTTCACACAGTCCAGCAACACCGATCCACAAAATGGTGGATCATGCTATACCCTTACAGTCCCTTCCACTAGCATTTCTGCAGGGCCGGGAGAAGCAATCGGGGAGAGGAAAAGTCTTACAACCAGCTCTACCTGCAGTGGCTCAAAAGCACAAAAAAGGCTGCAACAGCAAAGGTTTCATTCTTCCTGTTTTGTATGTTCACTGCTTTTACCATTATCTCCAGGTTTTATTTTTACTGTATATGTTTACTGTTTTATCATTATCTGTCATCTATATTTTATTTTTACTCTTTTGACTGTTATTTGTCATTTCCTCTGGTGATCACAAACTGCCACTGCAGAAAGTCCTCAACTTGGATGTGGTAATTTTAGACAGTCTACTGCTTCTACAAGAACCTCAGATTCATTTCAAACACTAAAAATTAAATCTGTATAGGTATTGCTCTTCTGCACTGAGAAAAATTACCTAAATCTGATTAAAGAAACCTCAGACTTTTGGCCATACACGTTAAAGCCATTTTCACATCTCTGCTAAAAACGGGTAAAGCTGATTTTATGTACCCTTGCTGATTGTAAAAGGAATCGAGACTATGGGCTGTTCTTGAACGCCACAGCTATTTCCTTGATGAACAACTGGAGATATTTCCTACTTTCTCCTCACAGTAAACTAAGGATGTCCTGTCCTCTAACTGACACCCGTTCCAAGATTAATCCTGAGAACCAAAAGCCCATAATGCTCCTGAACTTACACAGTATCAAAAGGATCCAAACACAGAATTCAACCCCATTGCCTGATGTAGAATCCAACCACATGCAACACTTTGGTACAGAAAATGAAGCCTCTTTCATGCGGATGAACAGACCTGTTGACGACTCACCAGTTCCTATTTAACAAAAAATGCTCTTAACATTGGATTGTTAGGGAGAAGAGTCCCCAGCATATCTAGGGAACTTCTGTCCTTAATCCCCTGAGGGAAGAGAGACTAGGATAACTTTGACATAATGAAACATCTGAAGGATGATGGGTGGATCCTGAGTGAGAAAGTTTAAAGGATTCCGGTGTCTTGCAGGTGAAGGGAGAACTCACCATGCCCGACATGGAGAAAATAGCTCTGTCTCCTGCAGCAGCCCCTCTCTGCAAATAGGTTCCTCTGCTCAATCTCTCTGCTGATGGCTCCAGCACCTGCAGTCACAAACCATCAAGCTCAGCATTACCCCAGTTATAACTCATCGGTTTTCCTGCTTTAGCCGGGAGGAGGCACTGAGCTCCACGCACAAGACTCCGGACACCTGCTGCCTTGAACAAATGGCTTCAGTATAAGATAGAGATTTAGAGTAGTTATAAAGGACATGACCCATTTGACCTCTAAGACCTGGCTGGTTAGGCTAAATATCCTGTCTGACTATTACTCTAAGAAAAGGCTGTGTTTAGCTGTGTTCTATAATAGGACATCAGTCCCCTGGTCTCTTCTACTTACGTGCTACTGCAATGCAAGCTAGGATGTAAAGTGGCAAGGTATCTCAAATGAAACTCAAGCATCATCTGCAGCACAAAGCAGCTCACAGGCTACAAACTGCCGTCAAGATTAACGCACGGTAGTTTCCTCGGAGACAAACCTTAAATCATTTGCTCAGTGCAGACAACCCCTCCACTGCTCAGACAGTGGCCGATAGTAGGAAAGATGCAATGTTCTCACATAGAAAGCATCAGAGACGAATGAAGCCTGCACACAGCCTTGCACCTGTTTGCACACCCATAGAAGCCCCTTTCTCTCCTCTGCAAGAGCCAAAGGCAGAGCCACGAGACAATGAGAAGGAAAAAGGAACTTACTGGCAAAGACAGGACCGTGCAAGAGCCCTGCGAGGAACAGTACGGCTAGTGGGTTCTGCATAGCTGCACCCTGGGAAACACACAAACACCAAAAGGTCTCCAGTGTCCCCGATACTTATACCAGGCCCTCTCTCAGCAGGCGAGAAGGTGAACAGCTCAGAGACAAATGGGTTTGTATATTGCCGGCAAATGTTCCCAGATTGTGATCTGAACAAACACCTAAGCAGGCTCAGCAGCGATGGCATCTCATCCACAACATGTCTACACAGATCAGACTTTGAGTAAACTTCAAAGTGCTTCTTGAGAGTGACCGGTTTTGCCCACAGCCTGGGGTAGCTCCCTTGGGGGTCTTTGTTCTTACCACCACTTTCAAACTAATTGAGTTTGTGGTAACTCAGAGTAATTTTTAAGTCCCCTCATTTGAAAGGAACGTGCATCCTTCAACCTCACTCATCGCACTGAATGGTCTTTTTAATCAAGAGATAACCCTCCTTTGTCGCTCCATGACAGAATTTAGACCAAAACTGGCCCTTTGATAACAGACTGCAACACGGTAAAACTCAGAGCCACGTTAGCAATGACAGCACATTCCCCATCAAAAACAACCACAAGGAAAGGTCTGAGATTCCATTTTTGCCTCTCTTCAGTGTTCCCGAACCCTGGAGCCAAGAGGATGCATCTTCCTTTCTAGCTTGTTAAATTCAAGTAGTCTGCTGAGTCCTGGAATCAGGAGAGGCATAGACAGTGCCTGAGCGCTGCAAGGGATTCTCTTTTGCACACATACCACTCTCTAGGGGAGCAATATATGCTGAATGCTTGCTGTATATGTGTGTTAATTACAGAAGTTATGATCTCTGCACCTAGTAGGCCAAGTGCAAGTCACAGGGACCAGATGCAACCCCCAGGGAAATTTTTTTGCCAGATTCAGGAACGACAGAACAGGAGAACAGCGGTGGCAGCATAATGCACCTGACTTCAATCCAGCATTCAAAATAGCATATTGATTACATTTTTGACTACAAGAGCTGTCATGCTACTACTTGCAGATACAGTGATTGTGGAAATTTTTGGAAGCTGTACGCTCCTAGGGACAATAACTGAGTCTCCTTGGAGCTCACCCAGTTCCTGGAGGAGACCTAGGCTCCACTGAGACAGATGCCTTGAGGAAATGATTAGCAAAAGTAAAACGCCATTAGCAGGCATCCTTTCCAAAGTACGACCTCATTTTCCACAGTGCATACAGGAATACCAATCCCTTCATCCCCGTAACACAGAGGAGAAATCAGGACAGCTATTCAACAACAAATTTAATTGTGTTTGACAAAGAGACAAACATATACAAAGAAAAATACATTTTCATTAAAAAAACATGCCTGGACATCTGAGCCAGTCTGCTCCCCACAGAAGGCTTCATATTGCTGCAGAGTGCCTGGAGAGCGGCAGGTACAGCTACTCTGAGCAACTGCTGTGTTACATGATGAAAGCTGGGGAGTACTTTTCACCATGACTGCAGGGCCCTGGTAAATGATATACAAAATATTTATGAAAACATATGTATTTTAAATAATGAACTTACAACAACTTAAACTTTATACAAAACATTATGGTTGCCAGTTCCTAGGACTGAGACGTTGAAATATTTTCAAACTCTCATCATTCTGTTTTCCACCCTGTGTCCATCTCTGCAGTCTTTCTCCGCAGGGCTCCTTCTCTGATCAGCTCAGTCCAAAGTACCTAAAAATGCAAAAAGTAGTCTTGGGAATCACACAGATAACGGAAATCCAGGGGCATGAACAACTAAAACTTGTTTATAAGCTGCCAAAGAAATATGCAATAACTTTAAACAATTACAAAAGAGTAAGAATAAATCTTGCTAGAAAGTACTGTATGCACCTCAAGTTCCTTTCGATTGTTAAGCGTTTCACTTCTCAGAGAGAGGAGAAGGACATAACCAGTTACACCATTAACTATTAAAGAAGCATAACATAGGGTTCTGCAAATGATTAAGCTCTTCCTCTCCCAAGAAGGAGATGATTACACAAAATATTGAAATCAAATTAAACCAAGCAGAAACTCACCTTCCAAAAAGGCAAATTCATCAATAGCTTCAATGGCATTATCTGCAAAGCACAGTGATAACAATTAACATAGATAAACCTACATCCACATTTGCATCTGCTACAAATATCAGTATTTGAATTACATTACAGTGACCAAATTCAAAGATGTTTATTTGTTCTGAAGGTAGTATGTGACATTATTAGCATAATATTTGGTAGAAGAGAACTTTTTCTCTCTCATCTTTGGAAAAAGGAGAAGCACCTATGATTGCTTCATCCTAATAACACTTTGTTAAGGAAAGCAAAAAAAACTGGTCTCATACCCAGGTCTTTTCTCTGCAGAGTTTTCCTCTTTCCTTGCTGAGCATATACGTAAGCATCTTTGGCTATGGTTTCCACAAACAACTCCTGCAAAGCGAAAACAAGACAGTTTCACACATAGAACGTGAGAGGAAAGAGAGAACATTCTGCAGGCAATGAGGAAAAAGAAAAGTCCTAAAAGATTTTTAGGAAGAAATTAGAATCTTCATCTTAAGGCTTCCCCTCACAATACATAATTCTGAAAATAAAAAGTGAAATTGTTGAGCATTTATTGTTGGACAGTGATGCACATGAAAAGCAACAAGGGAGGAGAGCAGGTTGAGTGTGTATTAGATAATTAGACAATTAGAGATGGCTCCCCTGAATGTGTTGGGGAGACCAGCTGCTCATCAGCTGTTCACAGGGCACTTTCTGAATGAGGATGAAATGCGTCCTGCACTCAGTGGATAAAGTGGATTAAACAACTGCCATTGTCCTTGCATGCCACCCAGTGGTATCTTAGCTGTAGGAAGTGAATGCCGAGTAGCAAACCCAAAAGTTACTAGGTTACTGCAGGAAGATATTGAAAGGGAGAGACAACAGTTTGCACGTGGATGCTTTTGCATGATGCTCACAGCGAGGAAGCCACCTCCTCATAATCTCACTGTGAGCTCACAGCGAGAGACATCCAACAGATCTCAACTGTGTAGTGGGAGACGCTTTCCAAAAAAAAAAAAAACCCACCACCCTTCTCTGTACACGCTGTTCTGATTTACACATCACATACTCTAGTCCTGCAGACCAAGGTAAACAGGAAATCCACACAAGAGAGGCACGAAGCTTTAATAGCACTGATACAACTAAGACAGGAGGTTTCCCATACCAGTAAAGGCCCAGTGCTTTCCTGCCACAACATCAAGCAACTACATTACAAGAGCTTTGTAGACAAGCAGGAGATTTCCACAGGAAAGTTTGAATCACAAAGACAGCCTACAACCTCAGGGCATTACTGACCATACCAGGACAGGAGTTTTCAGCAGGCTTCTTAACAAAGGGAGATGTATTTTCAATATGGAAAGCACAGCCCAGCCAGCCCTTCTTTAACTTCACCAGGTTTCTGTCAGCAGCATCTCTAAATTTGGGCTGAACAGGAACACACTGGATGCTCATAGTGCCTGGAAAGTTTCCATGCAATCAACAGGCAACACAGAACGGAGAGTTGCTAAAATGGTATTTTCCAGGAGGAGACCTTAGCAAGGGCTGTGAACTACTGTCATTTCCCACAGCAGTTTTGTCTACTTAATGAACACTAGAACAAGGTATGGAAGTTTCTCTTACAAGAGAGCAGGGAGAACAAACCTCTCAAATCCTCAAAAAACACCAGAAGAAAAACCCAAGTGAATGGGTCAACATCCTACAAATAGTGAAAGCACCACAGAACGCTGAGAAACTTGGCATTAAGGCACATCTAAGCTTCAAAAACGAGCCTGACAAAGAAGACAAAGCAGCTATCCTCAAATAGCTGCGTTGCTCTGACATGCGTTTCTCCCCAAAAAAGAGAAGGTCCCATATCAACAAAACAAGAAATAGCAAGTAACAATATTCTGAGCAGGGGTTCAAAGGAAATTCTCTTAATGCTGGTGTTAACCATGCTTGTCAAGAGCAGGTTCCTCACATCAATTTACCCAGAGACTTTACCACCTGTGTTCAAAAGGTCAAGATGTCAAACTGAGTCAGTGCATCATCCCCGTTCAGGCGCGCTGCCCAGCTCTCTCCCTCTCCCCTTTCGACTTCACTCCATGTCGATGCTTTCAGGACACCTGCCCTCTGCCTTTGCTCCCACAGGCAGCCCCTGGCACCACTACCCTTCAGCCACCCTCATCCTCCACATGCCCTGCCTGCACCTTCGTAAAGCCCTGGCACCTTGCACGCTGCCG